TTCCTGTTGGAAAAATAAAATCCGGAGCTTTTAAAAATATGACAAAGTTTTAAATCAGATTAAGACTAGAAATGAGATTGGAAATCAATTAAGAAAATGTTCCTGAAAATTGTCAATTATAACCGTCTTTCGTGGGCATATGTCATTGAGTTTTCGCAGACTCCTTTCATTAACAATACTGCCTTAACAAATATTTGACCATATATCACTTTCTCCTTCCTGTGATTTAATACCATCCGACGCAGCTGTGACCAATAAATACTCATCTAGATATTTTGACTGACAGACAATATTCTTTGCAATTTTAGAAACTCTTATTGTACTACTACAGTGGCCACTTCAGCGGCAGTTTTGATGCAAATTAAGAGAGCATTTCTCCTGATGATTTCATATTTTGAAGAGAAATTTAACAAGCGCCGGGTTTTGTTTGAAGTTTCATCACCAATGCAGCGATTAAAACATCTAAAAAGGAACTGCTTTAAATTAGAGCCTTAATTAAGCACTACTGTTAATGTCAGTTTCTTCGCTTGTTACTAAAAAGAGTTAAGCAACTATCGGTTCACAAAGTCACGGAAACTGTTACATCGAGCGCTTTGACATTACAAGTAAAGAGTTGCCTATCCAAAACACGCTTTATCTGGCAAATTCTAAAAATTTATGCTGTAAGCCGGGGACTTTCGAGAAGTACTCGTAAAATGAGGAAAAAGTTCTGGTATCCTAATCTATCGCAACCCATAATGATTAAGCAGCGTGACGCTTGATTGAATATTCGTAAACTGGAGAATTGTTAATGACTTTTTGTAGACTTTCAAAAGAGTCCTTCGTCTCTTCGCGGCCAAAAAAGGGCTCGCTCCGCTCGCCAAGAGATCGACTTGTAGCAAGTCTAGACTTTTTGCTAAGCGACTGTATAGCAGTAAATAATCATCATATCTGATAGACATTTTAAATTCTGCAAGCAGAATACTGTAATGCTGATCGTACTACGTGCAAATTATAATATATAGATTTAGCCAGGACTAAAAGCGAAGCTCCCATTAATAAATTTATATTTTAAATCAAACAATAAACTTGTAATCCACAAATCAGTTAAAGTAAGGCAC